GGCAGTGGTTTGTCTGAGACCACACAGCGTGAAGGGGAGCAGAGGCAGGATGGGACCCCAGATCTGCCACCTCCCAGCCCACGCCGCCCAGCAAGTTTGTATGTAAAACTCGTTCTAGAGCTGACCGGTTAGCTCACTTGGGAGAGTGCGGTGCTGATAACACCAAGGTGAAGGGTTTGGGTCCCCATACCGGCCAGCCGCCAAAATAATAATAATAAATAATAATATAAAATAAAACTCACTATGGGGGTGTCGGGCTGAGGCAACCCTGCTGCCTTCTAGGAAATGGCCTCCTGGGACAGCAAACTTTGATGGAGGTTTTGGGACAGGTCATTCAGGGATGAGCACTTACTGAGTGCCTACTGTGTACCCAATACAGGAACAGGGTTGGATGGAAGGTTTTTTCCACTGCAGGGTTGTACAACCCTTTTTCTTTCATTATTGCCTCTGCCTAAAGAGCTTTTTAAACGTTTTTCCCTAATCATTCCCTCTGTGAAATTTTAATGGCGTAGGTATATTCTATATCTATTTATATACTGTAATTGTATCTACACACCTGAGCTTTATACATTAAAAAGAGCGACGTACCGTAGCCACCTCCCACTCTCCAAAAGCCAGTTTTCTCCCCACTGAGAACAGATGACTTTAGACCAGGGTCTGTCCCCTTAAGCACTATTGGCATTTGCAGCTGGATCCTTCTCTGTGGTGGGGCCTCCTGGGCACTGTAGATGCTGAGCAGCGTCCCTGGCCTCCACCCACTCCATGCCAGGACCACCCCCACCCAAAATATCCCCAGACAATGTCCAGTGTCCCCTGGGGGCTTAGGCAGACAATATGGCTTTGAATCTGACACTGGCTTTGGGAAGTAGATTCTCTGCACTGGGCCTTGGTTTACCAACCTCACAAATTGACCAGATTTAATCAGGTGGTACCGTGAAGGGCTAATTTAGCACAATAAAAACTCAGCAAGCAGAAGCTGCCCACTTGGGGGCTAGGGAATCTTGGGACATGGGACATTAGCCAGACTTTAGACATTATCCACTCTGGGCACATCGGTTCATACCAAAGGAAGGTCCATTTTAGGGCTGAATGTCTAAGCAGGTTGCAGGAGGAGGAATTATCTGTGTCTTTTTTTTTTTCCCCTGATTTTTCATGGAAACAGCCAGAGCAACACAATGCAATAGAACTTTCTTCAATGATGGCAGTAATCCGCGCTGTCCAGTTCAGTCACCACTAAACACGTGTGGCTGTTGAGTATTTGAAGTGTGGCTTATGCAACTGAGGAACTGAAAATTTAATTTTATTTCAATTTAGCTCATTTAAACTTAAATAGTCATATGTGGCTAGTAGCTCCCATACTGGACAGCTGTAGAAGATGGGGAGTTTTCAGGAGCCAAGTGATGGACGAGTGGTCAGCAAGAGGATGAGAAATATTCCCAGGCGTTAGAGATGATTAAAAAAGAGATGGTGGAATAAAAAGGAAGGAAATTCTGACACACAGTACACCATGGATGAACCTTGAGGACATTGTGCTCAGTGAACTAAGCCAGTCACACAAGGACAAACACTGTGTGATCCGCTCACAGGAGGTCCCTAGAGTCGTCAGATCCACAGAGACAGAAAGTAGAATGGGGGGTGCCAGGGGCTGGGGAGGGGGATGGGGGTGAGTGTTTAATGGTGACAGTGTCAGTTGGGAAGATGAGAAAGTTCTGGAGATGATGGTGGTGATGGCTGCACAGCCACGTGAATGTGCTTAATGCCACTGAGCTGTGCACTTAAATGTGGTTAAGATGATAAATTTCATGTTACATATATTTAACCACAACAAAAAATTAAAATGAGATGCATATAATTATAGCATCATGTTATTTTAAAACTACACTTATTAAAAAAAGAACTTCCAGGACTATAGAAAGAAGAAGATAACTTTCTCAACCCAATAAAGGGATCTACAAAAACCCACACTTAACACCATACTTAGTGGTGAGAGACTAAATGCTTTTACCCTAAGATCAGGAACAAGACAAGGATGCCCAGTCTCACCACTTCTGTTCCACATTGTATTGAAAGCTCTACCCAGTGCAATAAGGCAAGAAAAGGAAATCAGAGGCATACAGATCGGAAAGAAAGAAAACTGTCTTTGTTTGAAAATGACGATGGTCATTATAAAAATCCTCAGTAATCTGAAAAAAAAAAAAAAATTCACAAAACACAATCACACAATCACATTTCTAATTACTAGCAATGAATAATTAGAAACCGAAATTTAGGGCTGGCCCATAGCTCACTCGGGAGTGTGCGGTGCTGAAAACACCAAGGCCACGGGTTCGGATCCCATATAGGGATGACCGGTTCGCTCAGTGGGTGAGCGTGGTGCTGACAACACCAAGCCAAGGGTTAAGATCCCCTTACCGGTCATCTTTTTAGGAAAAAAGAAAAAGAAACCGAAATTTAAAACAGAATGTTAGTAATTGCTTGAATGTCAATTTCTTGCCAATCCTCTTTACACGTATTTGCTGACTCTGCAACCCAGCAAACCCTGGGAGGTGGATTTAATTACTGTCCCTATTTTATGAATGAGGAAACTGAGGCTGGCATGGCTGGCCTGAGGTCACAGAGTGAATGAGCAATCAAATAAGGCTCCAAATGGGAGCTGGCCACAGCCCAGGGCTATTGCCATTAACGGATACAAAGTAACAGCACCATAGACAGCAACAGCAGTCATGGTTATAAAGTAACAATAGTCAGAGAGCCCGGCCCCTGCACGTGCTGAAGCACTTACTGTGCGCCAGCCACTGTTCTGAGTGCTTTATTGCTTTTCTGTCACCCTTCCCCTCACCAACAGCATCCGTGGGGGAGAGGGTGTGCCATGTGCTATAGATGTGCCCATTTCACAGATGGGAAGACTGAGGCATGCAAAGAGGTGAGAGGTCTGGGCTCCACACACTGTCTGCCCGATTCCAAAGCACATGCTCAGAACCACCATGGGGGCTTGGCACTTAGCAGGTGCTCAAGAAACATCCCCCTCCCAGGGAAAGTGCCCGAGTGCTGGCTGGGCACTGCTGCCTGCTGAGTTCGTGTGGGCGCTGGTTCTAGAAGAGGGTCCTGTGCCCAAGGCCTGGAGCCTGGACGGCCGGTTGCCCGGGCTGGGCCCTTCCCAATGGAGTGGTCACCCGTGCCCAGCCTTGCGGCAGTCCAAGCAGGACTGGCCGGCTCGGAGGGGCCTCTGGTTGCCCGGCCTGGAAGGAGCCACAGGGCTCGGGGCCGAGCCGGGCACACTATCCTCAGCCGCTGCCCAGTCGGCCACGGCTGGGACAGCCCTACTGGGCTGCATAGCCAAGCAGAGGAAGGACTGCCCCATCTGCTCCTGTCATGGACTGGGAAACTGAGGCATGTGTGGGGCCTCACACGAGAACCTGCTTCTGTGCAGTTATTACATCCCTGGTCTTGGCAGCCAGTGGGTGCTGGACACGGTGCGGCAAAGCCGCGTGCACAGTGCCAAGCAAACACCAAAGGCTCACTGTCAGAAGCACCCTCAACAACCCTGTGAGTGGCCTCTGTCATCACCCACTTTACTGATGGGGAAACAGAGGCCTGACAGGGAAAGTGACCTGCCCAGGACCACACAGCCCTGGAGGATCTCAGAGCTGGGATCTGAATTCAGACACCTGATCCCCGAAGCCAAACGGCTCGCCATGGGGTCGGGGGGGATGTCTGAATGCCACCCAAACAAATGAATAGAATGACCTGGTGACGAAGCATGTCAAGGGGCGTGGGGTGAAGACATTGTTCTAACCCTCGGTTTTCCTTGTTTATAAAATGGGTACAATAACAATGCCACATTTTCAGTTATCCTGAGGACTTAAAAGTAATAATAATTATAGCGATGTGATGGACACTACCACTTATCGAGATGTCACTATGCTCCAAAGTGCTTCATATACATTATTTTTTTTGCCGCTTCTTGGCAACCCAGTAAGGCCTGGGTGATGTACATGTGCATTTGGAAGAGGAGAAACTGAGGCTGAGAACAGTTAAGCAACTTGCCTGAGGTCACACAGCGATTACACTCGGCTTTGGAGTCTGACAGGTGGGAGGGGCCTGATTCTCTTTGATGATGATTCTTCATCTTTGACCTGAGACAAATGGGTAGGGCTGGGGGTGGCGTCTGCCGGCTGGGCTTGGCCATGTGTCCCCCAAACCTTCAGTCCCAGTGGAGGACCGGGGCTGCAGAGGAGGCTGGCGCGACTCGTCCTCCATGGCGGCTGCTGCAGGAGCCAATAACGCTGAGCTCAGCGTCTGTCTGCTTCACAGGCTTGTCTGCCAAGGAGCCTGATTATTTTTAGATAAGATGGAGGGGCGGGTGCTGCGGCGGAGGGAGCCCCCAGGCCAGGCAAGCGGGTGGAGGCATCGCGACCAGAGGGCCACCCCATGGTCCCCTCTCTGGGGGTCCTGAATAGCAACCCAAGACCAAGGACTGGGCCCCCAGGACGACAGGGGCAGAGGCTGAGGGGAGGGGACCAGAGGGCTCCAGGACTCACCTCTCTGACCCTGCTTCCCCATATGTAAGATGGGCATAATGATCGCTCCCACTTCACAGGGTTAAGGCAGGATTAAATGAGTTTATCCTCCTTTTACAGATGAGGCTCAGAGAGGGTAAGTGACTTCCCGGGGTCACACAGCAAGAAAGGGGCAGAGCTGGGATTTGAACGCAGGTCTGTCAAGACCCCAGGCACCCAAGCTCTTACCCATGAGCCAGCCTCTGCAGATGGGAAGGCCACACTCCAGCATGTAGACACACTGGCGCCATAGGGATCTGAGCCAGCCAGATGTCTGTGACCCTCTGGGGCAGCAGCCAAGGGAGGGGCCCAAGCAGAGACCCCAGGGCCTTGGCATGTTCCAGGACCACCGTCTCTGTGGCTCTGGCTCAGCCTAGAAATGGGGCACTGGTGTCTATGCCTCATCTCCTGGGATGTCACCAATTCTTCCTATCTTTGCAGACGCGGAGCAGAGCGGCAGTCCCCGGGCAGGGATGGGCTCCGACCAGGAGGACAGCAAGCCCATCACGCTGGGTGAGTCTGGGGGAGTGTGGGCGGTGAGGGGTGGGAGCCACGGCCCTGTCCCCCATCTTCTGTTTAGGAATCCTCTGCCGAGCACTATCTGTGTGCTCTGACTGGCCCCAGGTGGGGCACGTCGCTAATACTAACTCATTTATTCCTCACAGCAGGGCTGTGGGGGAGGGGATGCTGTTGCCCCATTTTACAGATGAGCAAACTGAGGCTCTCAGCGGGGGGGTGGCTAAGGGGCCTGTCCAGGGGCACCCGGGGAGCTGGGGTTGGAACCCACAGGTCTGAGCTCCCAGCATCCCTGGCTCTGAGGTGCTCACTCCACAGGATACCCCTGCAGTCCCATGGGATGTTTTACAGACATGTCTGTTCTATGTTGGAGGGGTGGGAAGTGGAGAATTAGCCTGGAGCAGAGCCCTGAAGAGTGGAAATGATTCAGAAGCTGCAGTGGCTTCTACCTGGGGCCAGCCCCATTGTCACTCACCTGGACCAGTGCAGTCTCTCTGCCCCCATCTGCGCCCCAACATTGGTCCTACCTGAAGCAACCAGAAGGCGCCATGAGCACCTGAGCCAGGTCCCGTCTCTCCTCTGCCCACAGCCCTCTGTGGCTCCCACCTCCCTGGGGGAAGAGCTCAAGTCCTCCTCCAGGCCCACAAGACCCCACCCACCCTGCCCCCCTGACCTCCCTGCCCTCCCCTGCCCCTCCCCCTCGCTCACTCCGCTCCATCCACACAGCCTCCCTGTTCCTCCAATATGCCTGGCTTGGTCCTGCCCCAGGACCTTTGCACGTATTGTTCCCTTTGTCTGGACGGCCAGTTCTTCTCTCTCTCCAGGCCTCCCCAGGTCTCATCTCTGTTGTCCCCTTCTGAGAGAGGTCTTCCCTGAGCCCTTTCATCTCAAGCAGCCTCTGGCCACTCTTGGTCACAACCCTCTGTTTCATTTCCTTCTGAGGAAGTTAGTGATTGCGTATGTATTTGCTTAGTTGCTTAGATTGCGTAGGTGTTTGCGGATCTACCCCCATGGGCCGTCACCTCGTCGAGGGCGAAGGCTTTGTCTGTCTTGATTGCTGTTATGCCCAGCACCTAGCACAGGGCCTGGTACACAGCACATGCTTAATATGCTTACAGAAAGAAAGGAGAGGGGAAGGGATGAGGAGAGAGAAAGAGAAACAAGAGAGACGGTACATCGGGGAGGAGGAGGAGAGAAAAAGGAAAGAAAGAGGAAAAACCGGGTGAGGCCGTCCCCATTGGACGGACCGGAACAGACATGCACAGGGAGGCCGGATGGTTCCAGGAGGTTCACAGGCCCCAGGTCCCTGGTGACTCTCCATCCTGCCGGCCGTGACCCTGGTCCTCCTCGGCCTCCTGTGATCCCCAGGCGCCTCCCTTCATGCCAGATGTTTGAGGGAGGCGGGGAGCGGCGCTTGGCCTGGTCCCGGGGGGAGCTTGGGCGTCTGGCGGAGGAAACCAAGTCCTCCCGGCTCGCCAGGGAGTCCCCCGGAGATGGAGCTGGGCGGCGCTGCACAAACAGGAAACCCCAGTGGGGGGAGGGGGGATGGGGTGGGCAGACACCAGCTGGCCGGCTGGATCAGCAGGAAACGGCTACGGCCACTTCCCCTGGACACTCGGGGGCCACTGTCCTGTCCTGCCTGGAATGTGGTGGTCCTGAGCCTCCCAGCACGGGGCTGGGCACGTAGTAATTGTTCAATAAATGCTGTGCATGAAGATTGCGACTGGGGAGGCCGGGGGTCGCTGGACGGGCCAGGGTTTGGGTACAGGGAACTGGGCACAGCCAAGAGCTCCCAGCAGCCCGTGCTGCCCCCTGGGGGCCGGGACAGGAACTGCTCCCACCGCCACCCCAAAGGTGACAACCCCCGGCTCGTCCCACCTCCATCTGACCACTCTCCCCACTTCTTCCGCTCCAGGCTGGCCGACCTTCAACTTGCCAAGTGCATTCCAACCCCGGGGCCTTTGCACCCGCCGTTCCTGCGGCCGGGAACATCGTGGCCCTCGGGGAGATGGTGAAACATTGTGTTTAATCCTGATCCTCATCAGAGCAGCCAAGTCTCACGGGGTGGTTGCCAGGCGCTGTTCTTGGCGCTTTGCAAATTTTAACAAATTTATTCTTCTCCACCCCCACCTGGAGATCTTTGTAAAACGTCACTGTCTCAGCAGGAGAGGCTTTCCCTGAGTCCTTTGTGTAAAATAGCGCCCCCCACCGCCCCGCCTGCCTTACCACCATCTAACGCACCTCCCATTTGGCTTAATGAGCTTTGATTTTTTTAAATGTTATTGTGGTAAAACACATATAATGTAAAATATGTTGTTTTAACCATTTTTAAGCGTACAAGTCAATGGCATTAAGTACATTCACAACACTGTGCAACCACCACTTCTAACTCTAGAAAATTCCCGTCACCCCTAAATGAAATCCTGTCCCCATCAGCAGCCATTCCTCATCCCCTCCCCCAGCCCCCTGGCAACTATGAATCCACTTCCTGTCTCTGTGGATTGGCCTGTTCTGGGCATTTCATGTAAACGGAGTCACACACTGTGTGGCCTTTTGTGTCTGGCGTCTGTCACTGAGCAGGACGTGTTCAGGGTCCATCCACGTGGCAGCGTGTGTCAGAGCCTCGTTCCTGTTCGTGGCTGAGTGATGCTCCCGTGTGTGGATGGACCGCGCTGTGTGTGTCCGTTCATCTGTCTGTGGACACTGGGAAGGTTTCCAGTTCTGGCTGCTGTGAATCACGCTGCCGTGAACTATTGTGGCAAGTGTTTCTGACTTGCTGATCTTGTGCAGTGCTCATCAGCCGCCCTGGACTGTGAGTCCCACAGTGTGGCAGCTGCTTCCATCTGTTTCATTCCCCACCCTGTTGGTGGTGTCGGTGCCCAGCTCAGAATCGGACACCACAGCTGGCCAGTGAACGCTTGTTGAGCCAATGGAGCCCTCCTAAAAGGGCCTCCGGGGGTGAGATGGGCCCATTACAGCTGTTGAATTTGGGCCAAGCTTCCCACCCTCTCAGGGTCCACCTGTTTCCAAATCCGCGAAATGGGTCCAAACCCCCCAGCCCAAAGAGGAGGGCCCCCTTCGTCTGACATTAGGCATGAGTGGTTCTGGGGACACTGAGGATTTAAACTGCTGCCTGTGGACCCTCCACCCAACCCATGGTTTGAGCCCCTGCCAGGTGCCAAGCTCTGCTCTAGGCACTGGGAACACCAGGCAGGCATCTCTACCCATATGGAAGTCCCAGTCTGGAGGGAAGGACAAGAAACCAGTGTTGCAAAGGGTGATCATGATGGAAAACAAGCCAGCTGGCCTTTCTAGGTGGTTTGATTGATGTCCCAGGGCACATTGAGGCTCAGGGAGAAGTGACTTGCCCAAGATCCCACACTGAGGAGATGACAGAGCCAAGATTCAAACCTGGCCTGCCACAGCGGATGATGGCGGGGAGACTGTGTGACAAGGGCCCACTGTGGATCGCCTCCCTGTAGAGAAGGGAGAGACTCCCCCCATCAGACCAGAGTGGGGCTTAGCTGGCCGGGGGTCGATGGGAGTCTGCGCAGCCCTTGGGTGTTGAGAAGGGAAACAGGCCCAGCTCAGCCGACTGCTTGCTGACCCCTTGCTGTCTCCCTGTTCCAGACACAACCGACTTCCAGGAGAGCTTTGTCACCTCTGGCGTGTTCAGCGTCACCGAGCTCATCCAAGTGTCCCGGAGTGAGTTTCCTGAGCTGGGACCCGGAGAGGGGAGGGAGCCTCAGAGAGTGGAGAGGCTCAGAGAGGAGAAAGGAGCCCACCACCCCCACTTCACTCCGTTTTGTCCTCTCCAGACACCCCCTGTCACCAAGCCAAAGTTCCCAGGAAAGGAGGTGGCCAGGCCCTTCCCAGAACCCAAGGTCAGGGTGACATGCCACCTTCCCAGGCAACAGAATCCAAGTGCTGGGTGGAGGCTGTTAAAGAACCCTCCGCCCCAGCCTCCCACCTTCCTGGGGCCTCCACCGTCCGTCCCAGGAGACCACAGAGGGCTCCACCTCTCTTGTCCCCTTGCCTTCCCTATGGACCTGCTGGGGACCCACCACAGTCCCCCAAGCACCCCCGTCTTGAATCCCACCCCCAGGGGGTTCTGTGTACTGTCCTGCCTTAACCCTGACCAGCACCTTCCCTGTCCAGATCCACAGGGCCTGGCCTCAGCTCTGGCTACGCCTCTGCCTCACAGGGTGACCTTGGCCACTCTCCATGGCCTTGATCTTCTGATTCACAGAATAAGGCCGTTTTGATTAGGAACCAGGCCGATTTGGGAAGGGGTTCCCCTCTGGACTGCCCCCAGAGGGCTCTCCCCACCCTCCAGAGGGGAAAAGCCAAACGCAGCTCCGGAACCTGCTTCCTCTCACTCTCCTCTCTGTTGCCCTCTGCAGCACCCGTGGTGACAGGTACAGGACCCAACTTCTCCTTGGGGGAGCTGCAGGGGCACCTGGCATACGACCTGAATCCAGCCAGCACTGGCATGAGAAGAACGCTACCCAGCACCTCCTCCAGCGGGTACGTGCCCAGGTCCCCGCCACTGGGCATTTCATGACCCCACCCACTGACCCATCCCCCTCTTGTCCCAGCTGGCTCATTCCTCTCCCTGGAATGCCTGTTTTCACGTTCCACCTGGCCTGGAAAACGCCTACTCATCCTTCAAAACCCAGCCCCAAGTCCCCGATAGCCCCTGGGGTAGACGGTGTGGTCTCCCCCAGCAACAAGTCCTGCTGCCCAGCCAGCCTTTGAGACTCCCGGAGAATGCTGACACAGGTTGTTGCTGAGATACGCTGTGTGACCATAAACCGGTCAGGTGTACCTCAGTCTCTCCATCTGTAAAATGGGATCATAATCCTTTTGGGTTGTTCTGAGAACTACAATAATAGGCCAAGTACTTAGCCAGGCTTTCCGGGTTTTAGTTTCCACCCTGCTTGCTTGCTATTTGACCTCAGCTGTGTCCCTCCCCGCCTCTGGCCCGTGTCCCGTCCCCTCAATGGGCAGGTGGGAACAGGTATTAACGAGGACTGGCCGAATGCCTGCGGCTCCCGTGAAGTCTCGCGATAGCACCTCCTTCGCCCCGCCCTCTAGAGAACGGAAGTCAGTCAAACCAGCCCCCGCGTCTCCGTGGTAACCAGCCTCTCCTTCCCTCGTCCCTTAGGAGCAAGCGGCACAAATCGGGCTCGATGGAGGAAGACGTAGACACGAGCCCCGGCGGCGATTACTACACCTCGCCCAGCTCTCCCACGAGTAGCAGCCGTAACTGGACGGAGGATATGGAAGGAGGTAGGGCTGGCGGCGGAGGCGGGCCCGGCCTTCCGGTCGGGGGGGGGGGGAGGAGGTAGGTACTGCGGCGGAGGACTACGTATCCCGGCCGGCACTGCGCGGACGCCAGGGGGCAGGAAGCCGGCCTAGGGCCGCGAGGCCTCCTGGGAATTGTAGTTGCGCCGGCTGCGCGCTGCCGGAAGTCAAGTCCGGGTTCGCTCACGATCCCGAAGCTCTTTGGTTCCGCCGAGGCCGGGGAGGGCAGAGAGCATCCCTGACCCGACTCTCTTCTCTCCAGCTGCCCGGGCCGCGTCTGTGTGGGGTTGCTGGGCTGTAGGATTGACTCAGTAGCGACTGTGAACTGAAAACAGCGTGCTCTTTCCTGGGGTCTGCTACAGAGTCCCTCAACTGGAGGGTTCCTGTGTGTCCCCTTCGCCTCCAGAGGGTCCTGAGTTACAGGGTCCCTTCTCTGGGGTCCTCCTTGTAGTCCCTTTTTTAAAAACTAGGTTCCCATCTCCATTGGATCTTCCTCCGTATGCTTCCGGTTCTGTAGGAGCCCCGTCTTCTGTAGGATCTTTATTCCCATAGCATCCTTTTCCAGAGGTTTCTTGTCCTCTTGCCCGTCTGTCCTCATAGGGCCCCCTCCAGAGTGTCTTTCCCGTGGGATTCCTATTCTGTAGGGACAGCAGCTCCATGGGGCCTCCTCGACTGCCCTCTAGCTCCTTGGGTTTCTTTGTTAACTTACCCTCTCCACAAGGGCTTTCTCCAAAGATTTCCCTTCATTGGGGTCCCCATCTCCACCACGGTTCTCATCTAATGAATCCCTTTTGCTTTAAGGTTCTGCTCTCTAGAGGGCTAGCATCAATGACTTTCAGGAAAAGTGCAAAATGCCCTACTGGCTTGTGTGACACTGGCATGGATGTCCCTGGAATCTCTCTGATTCTCAGCAGGGTCTGTGCCCCCAAATTTCAGAAGCATTACTCTGTGCACTTCACCCTCACAGGCCCCACAGGTTCAAATCCCAGCTCTGCCACTGACTAGCTGTGTGTGCTGTGCAACCTTGGGCAGGTGATTTAACTTCTCTGAGCCTCAGTTTCTTCATCTCCAAAATGGGGGTGTTGAGAACAATAATTCTTCTTTGGGTGAGTTGGGAGGAAGAAAATGGGAGAATGTGCATAAAGCAACTGTGCCGGGAAATGGGAGAGTTTATTCTTGTACCTGTCTTTATAAAACTCTTATCTCAAAAAAGGGTTTCTTTTTCTTTTTTTTTTTTTTTTTCCTTTTTGTCTTTTTTCGTGACCGGCAACGGGATCGCAACCCTCGGTGTCGCGCCCGCACCGCACTCAACCAGTGAGCGGACCGGTCTCTATATGGGATCCGAACCCTCAGCGGGAGTGCCACCGCGCTCCCAAGCGCCGCACTCTACTGAGTACGCCACCGGGCCGGCCCAAAAAAGGGTTTCTGTCATGAGTGGCACACGTAGGGCAACTTGGTTGCTCTTCATGCAGAATCGGCATCAAGAGATTTTGGAAGCATAATTTTCTGATACTTGGGCAACTGGTGATCGTTGGTCCTGGGGCCCCTTAAAAAGCCAAAACACTCTTTGAGTCGGTGTCTAATGCATATGGTGTGACAGTTCAGATCGCAAGGGTCCTGCTTCTTCCACGATGTGAACTCCCACAGCAGTTCCATCCCTAAAGGTCCCTATCTCTGAGAGGACCAGTCTATTTGTTAGGTTCTAATTTATTGATCATAGTGTCTCTGTGATTTTGTCTCTGTGGGTTCCCCATCTCTGTCAGGCTTGTCTCTATAAAGACCCTGTATTCAGTAAGTTTAGGTTTGCTTGTGAGAGACAGAAAACCTCAGAGGCCAGTGCCTTTCCCTTGGAGGTAAATGTCCAACCATCAGCAGCCCTGGGCAAGTGTGGCACAGGAGACTCAAGCCCCTGCCTTATGCTCCACTGAGCGTTGTTTTCAGACCCACCTCATGATCCAAGATGACAGCTGGAGTTCCAGCCAAAAGGACTGTATTCCAGCGAGCAAGAAATAGGGCCAAGAATGGGCATACCCTCTCCCTTTAAGAATAATTCTCACGGGGCCGGCCTGTGGCTCACTTGGGAGAGCGTGGTGCTGACGCCACCAAGTCAAGGGTTAAGATCCCCTTACCATCATCTTTTTTTAAAAAAAAAAAGAATTCTCAGAAGTGGCAAGTACCTTTTCTGCTTGTCTCTATGCCCAAGGCCAGACACAAAGTATATATTTGGGGCATGAGAACTGGGTTTATTATTAAGTCACAGCTAAGCTGCCACCTGGGTGACTTCAGTGGATTCATCCACAGGGAAAATGATGGAAAAGAATTCCCAGCAGAGGGAACAGCGTTTGCAGGAGTTTCTCCCCCTCTGCACTGTGGACATTGGGGCTGGATCCTTCTCTGTGGCGGGGCCATCCCGGGCACTGCAGGTGCTGAGCAGCGTCCCAGGCCCCCACCCACTCCGTGCCAGGAGCACCTCCCCCAGTTGTAACAACCTCATATGTCTCCAGACATTGCCAAGTGTCTCTTGAGGGCAGAATGGCCCCCCTGGATGACCACTGGTGTATGCCAAGGCTCCAAAAGGAGAGAGGTGAAGGCGTGTGGCCCCTGAGCTGGCATCAGCCTGCAGAGAATGGGCAGCCACTTCCCTCCAGGGTCCCCTTCCAATTATTCTAGTCTCAGACCACCTGACTGAGGGGACCAGCAAGCACGTTTTGCACAGGGGAGCCCTGAGGTTCAGAGAGGTGATGTTACCTACTCCAGGTCACCCCAGCAGCAAGTGACCATGCAGGGACATGGAACCAGGTGGCCTGTTTCCAGGGATTTCCTCGGGCCACCCCACCAGCTGCCTTTTATGGGGCACCGGCCATGTACTAAGCCACTCACCCACACTATCACCCCTCCTCAGCAGCACTCTGTGAAGTTGGTGCTGCCCTGGCCCTGGTCGGCAAATGGGGAAACTGAGGCTCAGAGGTCCCACAGCGAGGAAGGGGTAGAGCCCAGAGCTTATGTCTTATGCTTCTGCCAACCCAGTATCTCCCAGAGTCAGTAACGTATTGCAGCCACTGACGCCCCAAGTGGGGACCAGTCAGAATGAGCCTCACCACTGGGCTGGAGCAGGTTTCCTTAGGTTCCTGGCGAGGTCCAGCCTCAACCTTAGTTGCTGGACGCAGGAGAGGGCAGGGGGCCTGCAGGAAGGGGACAGACGTGTTGCTGCAGCCTGTGAGTCCTGCAGGGGCAGGGTGCCTCAGGGGAGGGAGGGCACGAGCAGGTCCCCAGCCTCCACCCACGTGCCCTACCTCGAAAGGTGCCCTTGGCCTTTGGCCACACCCCTGGCATGTGGCTGCCCCTCCTCCCCTCCTCCTCAGCTTCCTGTCTAGACAGCCCCCAATTAGCTGCTCATTAAGGGGGCTAAGCTGATTAGAGAAGCTCTCCCTCCCTCCGCCATGGCCACGGGGCCGTTTCTCAGGGACAGGGACAGCGCTCTGCCAGCTCCCCCACCTGACCCTCAGCAGCCACGCTGGTGCCTGGGAGGGGCAGAGGCCTGGGGGGATCATGCCAGGCAAGACCCCAGCAGCCACAGCTCCCAGCCCAGCACCAGGCCTTTCCCACTCCCTGCCCAGGCCAAGAGTGTCCTCCTCCCGGCCACCTCCTCCGAGGCCGTCCCTGATTGCCCACCCAGGCGGGGAGGAGGAAGCCGCCCCCTGCTCAGTCCCCACCATGCTTGGTTCTTGCTGCTTCTGTGGCCCCCGCAGGGGACACGGACCCCACAGCAGGCAGCTGTTATGCACAGGAGATAGGCAAACCCCAGTTCTCTCCTTTGTCACCTGCACGGGCTGCCCTGTCTTTTTTGATTACTCAAGGTGGGGTCTGTGGAGGTTCAGAGTCGGGTTCCGGTTTCAGCTCCAGCACGTTATGGCTCCATGGCCCTGGGTGAATGACTTCTCCCATTAGGCCTGTTTCTGCCTCTGTGAAATGGGGGTGGCTCCCCTAAGCTCTGCGTGGGGTGGCTGTGAGGACCACACAAGCACAGGCTTACACTGTCCTCACAAAGGAGATCACACCTGGGGAGGTTCTGTGGTGGTTGTCACAACTTGGGGTAGGGGGTGCTCCTGGCATGGAGCAGGTGGAGGCCAGGGGCGCTGCTCAGCACCTGCGTGCCCAGGACGGCCCACCACAGAGAAGGATCCGGTTCCAATGTCCACAGCGCCCAGGGGGAGAAACCCTGTGTTAACTATGTGGGGAAACAGCCAAGTCTGATCCTGCTCACAGCAGACACCAGGATAAACCCCCGACGGGGCAGACGGTACAAACCAGGGTGACCCCAGCTTCTGGGATTCACCTCCTCTCTCCCTCCCCATCAGTGTATGGATTTAAATGTGTGCAGCCTCCTGGGACCTCAGTAGGGCAGGTGATTATGGGATGCAGAGTCTCTTGGGGTCCATGGAATCCCCAAACCCAGGAGGTCTCACCTGGGTTGATTCTGCCCCCAGGGGACACTGGACAGTATCTTAGGACATTTGTGGTTGTCACGACTGGGAGTGCTCTTTGCATTGAGCAGGTGGCAGCCAAGGACGCTGCTCAGCACCTGCAGTGCCCAGGACGGCCCCACCACAGATGAGGATCCGGTCCCAGGACAGTATCTTAGGACATTTGTGGTTGTCACGACTGGGAGTGCTCTTTGCATTGAGCAGGTGGTGGCCAGGGACGCTGCTCAGCACCTGCAGTGCCCAGGACGGCCCCACCACAGATGAGGATCCGGTCCCAGTGTCCGCAGTGCATGGGGGAGGAGCCTGGGTGCGTAGCCAGTGCTGGGGTGACGCTGGCTGTCCTGGATCAGTCACCCGTCCACTCCACACACTCTCTGCCCAGCTGTGCTCTGGGCCCTGCTGTGGACCCTCGAGACCCAGCAGTGGGCGAGGCCGGGCCCCGCTGGTGGAGCCGGCGTTCCAGCAGGAGACGGGCTTGCCTGTTGAGCAAACAGATACACGCTCTGATGGGGACGTACAGGCCTATTTGTTAAATAGCGGGTAGAGGCTTGGGTGGGGCGCCGACAGGCATGTGTGTTAGACACATGGCAAGATCCTGAGATGGGGAGCCTCCGGGCATGTGTGTTCATTAATGACAGGTATTCTTAGACAGGGACATGCAGGGTGCCCAGATGGGGACATATAGACACGATCGCTGAGCAGAAAGATGGCCTCTAAGGGCTGCGTGCTCAGATGGGGGACCTGCAGGCGTCGTGCTTGTCAGATGGCAGCCGCATGTTCATGGCTCCGGTGGAGGCGCTCAGAGGCGGGCTGCACCGTCAGTCCCGTTCACAGCCTGCCCAGGTCCAGGAGGGTTTTTCTTCCTCGCAGTGCCTGGGCCAGCCTCTCCCTCCCTCCTGCCCTGCGCCGGCTTCTGCAGGCCCCATCTCAGGAAGCTCTAGAAGTGTTTGTAGGGATGCGGCAGCGGCGGCGGGGGTGGAGTCCATGCCAGACTATTTCCATCCAGGACAAGCTGTTCTAGGAAATCCTCCTAAATGAGCGTCTGACAGCCCTAACCTCATTCCCGCCGTGGCAGGGAGCTGCCACCCCATTACACACGCCTGTCACACACACACACACACACACAGCCGACAGGCCACCCCGGCCAGGCCAGCCTCCTGCTGTCCCTGGGAAAGCCCAGGCTCTGGCTCCCAAGCCGCAGCAGGCCAGGTGGGTGGCGTCCAGGCAGGCAGCAGAATGACCTCTCGAGGTGACTCAGCCGCCAGGCTCAGCCACCCGGGGCCTCGGGAGCATTACCTTCCTCACGGTTGGAGATGCCACCCTTCCCATGGGTGTGCTGGGTGCCAGTGCCCATGGGAGGCAGGTGTCAGTGGGTCCCCAGGCCCTGCTGACCTGCTTCTGGGACGCGTCCCAGCCCCGTGTTCACTCCCCCGCAGTGCAGGGTGTGCAGGGCCATGAGGGCAGCCGGGTTTGTAACAGCGAAAGCAGGCAACAGGCTCAGCGCCCGCGGGGTTGGTCCTGAGTCTCAGTCTGTCTGGGTTGCAGCCATCAGAGAGGACGGGAAGCTTTCTCAGTGGAAACACCACATGCGGGAGGACATGGCCGTGCTGAGACAAGACAGAGCTGGGGACGAGGGGCACACACACATCCCTCAAATGCTCATAGAACTGTCACCAGGAGAACCAAGGCACAGTGACAGGCTCCACGGACCCCAGTGTTTCCAACCAGACGTCCTGCTCCCCAGGGGACACTGGGTGATGTCTGGGGACATTTGTGGTTGTCATGACTAGAGGCTGCTCCTGGCATGGAGTGGGTGCGGGCCAGGGATGCTCAGTACCTGCAGTGCCCAGGACGGCCTCACCACAGAGAACAATCCAGACTTTGGGCTGGGCCAGAGAGAAGCTAGATCTGTCACCCTGTTTAAATGGTGTCTGTAGGTGTGTTTTACCCTAAAATAAATTTAAAAAATCATTTCTAAAACCTTGGCTCTCCAGGCCTCACTCCCCTGAGATTCCAATTCCAGGGATGGGGCAGGGCCTGGGACTCTGCATTTTTAAGGCAAGCTGCCATCCTTAGCACTCACTTGAAAATGCTTCTCTGGAGGATGCTGGGGTTAGAGTGCTGGACGCAGGCAGGAGAGTGAGGGGACATTCACATTTCTTGAGGGCCTGCTGTATGCCCGATGCCTGTGTGGTCTGTCCTATGTCCCAACAAGGGCTCTTTCTCCAGTAAGCATTTGCTCTGTGCCAGGTTCTCTGCAAAATCTGTATGTGCCCATTTCACAGGTGAGTACAGTGAGGCACAAAAGGAACCCAAGAAGGCCCAAGCATTCCAGCTCCAGAGCCACGGCTCCAAGCCTGCCTCCCAGAAATAACCAAAACAGCCCCTGTCGGGGCTCTGACGCCCCTGGTCCTCACTTGATTTTTGAGGCGGGGGTGAAAGTATCGAGTGACACCCCGTAACCCGCCCTGCCCACCCCAAATGCCCACAGTGGCGGCTCCTGCAGTAAGAATGTTCTTCGAGCTGGGCCACTGACCTCCCCTCAGGACATTAGGGCTGGAGGCATCGGGGGAAGCGCCTCAGTGCCCAAGGATCTGGGACAGCAGCAGCTTCAGCCCATGCAGGAGCCCAGGACAAATCCTCAGTCACCACAGTCGTCATTCCCACGCTACTCCTGATGGGAATTCTACAGTTTCATGAAATTCCCCGTCTTACAGAAACGGGTGGATGTGGTGATTCAACCAAGATCACACAGACACCGTGGCCAGCTGAGGTTTAAATTTGGACCATCTGTGTCCCTCATGCTCCGGGGCTTCCTGGGGGGCGGCCTGGCAGTGGGAGGGCAGCCTCGGGGGCGCCCGGCAGTGTCCGTCCTCACATTCATTCATTCATTCGTTCATTCATTTTTTTTTTTCTTTTGTTTTGGTGGCTGGCTGGTACAGAGAACCCTTGACCTTGGTGTTATCAGCACCATGCTCCAACCAGCTGAGCTAACCGGGCAGCCCTAGCATCTCATTTAATTCTCGCGAAGCTTCCAGTCTTTGCCCTGGGGTGGGCACGGGGACACAAGCACAGACCACATGGGGCTCCCCCCACCCACTCACCTCCGCAGGGCCTCACTGGGCTTTGGACCTGACCCTCCCGCTCACGCTGCCACCTTCTGCAGGGCTCTGCGTCCCCTGGGGAGATGGAGACAGCCCTGAGCCAGCCACTTCTCTGGAAGGAGAGAAGATGGGAGGCTGAGCTGTGATGTCCAGGGCCTGGTAGGGGCGTCCAGCTCTTCCTGCCACCGGCTGTGAGACCCCAGGCAGCCTCTGTCTCTGCTCTGAGCCTTGGTTTTCCCTTCTGTGCAGTGGGCTCCCAGCCCCTCACCCTCAAGCTTCTGGGAAGAGAGGCAGGAGCGGTCATGCTGACGCTCTGGATGTCGGCTCCCTGGGAGGTCCAGGGGTCCTGGGAGCGTGACCAGCCTGTGACTCTGTCATCCCCATTCCCCCGCAGGCATCTCGTCCCCGGTGAAGAAGACAGAGATGGACAAGTCACCGTTCAACAGCCCGTCCCCGCAGGACTCGCCCCGCCTCTCCAGCTTCACCCAGCACCACCGGCCCGTCATCGCCGTACACAGCGGTGAGCGCCACGGGCCCCAGGTGGCAGGGAAGTCCCACCAGATATCTGACCTTGAGTTTATTGCTGTAGCCTCCTGGCTGTGCAAAACAACATTGAGGTGCCGTGGTGGGGAGTGCCTAGGACCTGATCCCCGCGCTGCTGAGAGGCGTGACTCAGTCGCTCTGGGCCTCAGTTTCCCCTCCTGTTCAAGAAGAGGCCGCGGTCTGGGGCTCACCCCTCACCCTGTTCTCCTTCCTACCTGCCTTGGTCCCATCCTGCACTCCAAGCCCAGGCAAACTGACAGACACACAGAATCAGGAGGGGTCAACAAGGTCACGGCCCATGTCACAAGCTGACGGGGCACACTGCCCGTGCCTGCCCAGAGCCCCAAGTGGTTGGGCTGTTCCTTCATTTCACAGACGGCCAGGCCAAGGCACAGACTGGGGGCAGAGCCTGCCCAGGCCACACATGTCCCCAGAGGCCAGGGGTCCCCACCAGTGTCACAGGAGAGGGGTCCACGGCCTGACCACAGGGCCATGGTCACAGAAGAACCTAGACACTCTAGCAGCCACGTGTAGGGAGTCGGTCACAGTGCCCCTAGCCCTATGTGTCCTCACCTGTCACTTGGGGCTCATGTCCCCACCACCAGGGTTGCCTTTAGGCCTAATTGGGGTGAGTCATGAGAAACCTTCGGTGTTGCTTATTAGTGCATGTTATGATGATACACTGTTTAGTTCCATGCCAGGAAGCAGGAACACACATAGGGAGGAGGGCACCCATCAAAACAGCCCAGACAGGGCCGGCCCGTGGCTCACTCGGGAGAGTGCGGTGCTGACAGCACCAAGGCCGCGGGTTCGGATCCTTTTTAAAAAAAAAAAAAAAAAAAAAAAACCCAGACATTTGGGCCAGGGGTCAGTAAACTCTGGCCCTTGGGTCGCTTGTTCTTCTAAATAAAGTTTTATTGGCACATGGCTACAACCACACTTCCACACCGCAGTGGCAGAGCTGAGCACCTGCCGTGGAGACCGTGGGGCCCACAAAGCTGAAACTGCTTACTGTCTGGCCAGGTGCCGGGGCGGATCCTAAAAGTCACTGAACTGTTTAGAAAAAGGAAAAAGCAAATGCCACACTGTAACATGACTCAGTCATGAACAGGAACGAGGCTCTGACACACGCTTCCACGTGGATGGACCCTGAACATGTCACGCCCAGTGACAGATGCTAGACACAGAAGGCCACACAGTGTGTGATTCCATTTACATGAAATGTCCAGAACAGGCCAATCCAGAGACAGAAAGTGGGTTTGTGGTTGGTGGGGGAGGGGAGGGGAAGTGACTGCTGATGGAGATGGGGTTTCCTTTCAGGGTGATGAGAATGTTCTAGAATTAGCTAGAGGTGATGGTTGCACAGCTTTGTGAAAATACTATAAACCATTGGGCTGTCCACTTTAAAAGGGTGACTTTTGTGGTATGTGAATTACATTTCAATTTAAAAAAATATTTGCTATTCGGCCCTTTACAGAAAGAGCTTGTCAATCCCTGGTTTAGGGTGTGGATGGCCTGCCCTTGAATCCCAGGTCTGCCACCTGCTTGCCAGGTGACCTCGGGCAGGTAGTGTATCCACTGAGAGCCACTGTGTCATCCTCTGTTAAAAAAAACAAACATGGGGGACCGGCCCGTGGCTCACTCAGGAGAGTGCGGCGCTGGTAGCCCCGAAGCCGCAGGTTCGGATCCTATATGGGGATGGCCGGTGCGCTCACTGGCTGAGCGTGGTGCGGACGACGCCGTGCTGAGGGTTGCGATCCCCTTACCAGTCCAAAAAAAAAAAAAAATCCTAGGGATGATCCGGGAACACCGAGGGAGCCAGTGGATTTGGGGTGCACATGGCAGCAGGGCATGGGCTGTGCTTGTGCTGCTGGGTCTTGTGATCATCATTATTATCAAACACACCGAGATGTGGGCGAGAACCACACCCACAAACGCACAGCCACACTGTCGCAGAGCGGACCCCGCTGCGGCCCTGGTGACCATCTCCTCTGCTCTCTCCGCAGGGATCGCCCGGAGTCCCCACCCGTCCTCAGCCCTGCACTTCCCCACGACGTCCATCCTGCCCCAGACGGCCTCCACCTACTTCCCTCACACGGCCATCCGCTACCCCCCTCATCTCAACCCCCAGGACCCGCTCAAAGATCTCGTCTCGCTGGCCTGTGACCCGGCCAGCCAGCAGCCTGGACCGGTGAGTCTGGCGGGGCATGGTCCTCTCCTGGCAGCTCCAGGTGACCCCTTGGGGGGGCCCTGGCCTGTCACTTGGCAGTGGTCAAACGCACAACCTCTATTCTAAACAACTTTGTGAATGTGGGTTCCAAATCCCCTTATCTGTAGCTCTGAAGTCAGTTGGATTGGGTTGGAACTCAGACTTTTCCAGATGTTAGTGTGGACGGCACGTGTTCTGTTCAGAGCGCCCCAGCGGGGCCCAGGGTGGCACCTCCTGATCCAACACAGTCCAGCGGCTGCAGAGAATCATATGCCTATAGACTCAGCACACGAGGGAGGTAGAAATCAATTGGAAGAAAAACCTAAAAAACAACCAGACTCAGTTCACGCCAGCTTTTGCCAGACTTCCACCTAGGGCTTTTCAGATTTTGGAACCACGGGCGAGGTTGCAGACAACTGTCCTTGTAGTGAATCAGGGAGGACGTTGGGATGTTGTTGTTTAGGACCAGGTGACATTATTTGGAAGGAAAAATGCACAGGTGACCTAAGGAGAAGAGGAACCTGTGCCCGGGGTCTGGATGACACCAGCAAATGGATGTCCCCAGGGGCCTCCACCTCTGGCCTCCTTTCTCAGACCCACCAAACTCGCCATGGCCACGCCCATGCCTTGGCTGGGGCCGTGGGCAGAGCCGGGGGCGTCTGGCACCAGCAGTCCCAAGGCGGAGGGGGCGCCCGCCCTTAACCACGTGTCTCTCTGTTCCCCCCAGTTAAATGGAAGTGGTCAGCTCAGAATGTTCAATCACTGCCTTTCCACTCAGATGCTGGCGCCTCCGCCCCCGGGGCTGCCTCGGCTGGCGATCCCCCCTGCCACCAAACCCACCACCACCTCCGAGGGAGGAGCCACGTCGCCAACCTCGCCCAGTAAGCACGCGGGGACCCCTCCCCTCCCCAGCCCCACTGCCAGGGTCCGAGGCTCAGGCCCGGCCTGGCGGGTACTGGCGAGTTTGGTGGGTCTGCAGATAGCAGACTGGGGGCCACGTGGTCAGGCCTGCGTGGGGCCGAGGCAGCCTTAGGGGACGGCAGGATCAAGCCACGGGCCAGGGGTAAGAGTCTGGGGTCTGCTCCGTCCTCGTCTGTGTGAGGAGCAGCGAGCCAGCTGTCAACAAAGATCGTAAACTGGTGGCCCCAGGACCAAACCCAGCCCCCAGATGTCATTTATTTGTGGAAAATGAGAACCTGTAGTTACCATTTTAAAATCAGGACGTTTCACATAAAGATCGCAGGATTCTGGCTTCTTGGGGAGAAAAGGCTACCCTGGGCCCCAGTCCTTCGGGTGGCCTGGGTGGGGCTAGGGCTGGGCCACACCTTTACATGAAGCAGTCCCCACCTGCCTACCTGGGTTGGTGGCCCCCCACCTGCTAGACCTTTTGCTGTCTAGATGCGATTCCAGATGACACACCCCCTCCCCGCTCCAGAGCTGCTCCAAGCTGGCAGGCAGCTCCCAGGATCCGCATCCTGGGGTCCACCCCATGCACAGTGGCTCTGTCCCCAGCCTCTCCCTGCAACCCCAGTGCAGGCATGGGGGCCCGTCTACCCTCTGGCAGGCTGCTGACCCCACCGCCCTCCTGGTGCCCATCCAACCTGTGGCCCTGGGCAGACAGTCTCAGGGTCCCTCTGTGTCCCTCGCTCCCAAATGAGATTTCTCACCTCACCCAAGCAGGAGGGGTCAGCAGTTACGTCTGGGCCCCTTCCCCACCAGCGGAATGGGGATTCTGCCCCCAGCATTTCTCCCCCCAGCCCCCACTGCCTGCCAGCACCCAGGGCTGCTCCCCATAAAGACGGGCTGTCTGTAAATGCCAGACAGTGCGGGACGCTGGGAGGCATCCGGCCCTGAAGCCAGCCCAGGGTTCAGATCCTGCCTCTCCAGCTCTCTCCCTGTGTGACCTCAGGTAAATGTATTCCCATCTCTGAGCCTCTGTTTTCTCAGCTGCAGAACAGGTTGGTCAGTGCCTAACTCACAGGACAGGTGGGGAGCAAAGCTGTGATGTTTGGGTCAGGAGGACGTTTAGGTGCAGAGCAATGTCGGTGTGTGGTGCTGGGTATTCTCTCGACTTTTCTACTGGCTCATCTGTACCATGGGGATAGTAACAGTGTCTACTGGGCAGGGTCCTCTGAGGGTTAAATGGGATTATGCCCAGGGCCTGGCATACAGTAGACACTTGGTAGATGCAGCATGCACACGGTCCCCTCCCGCTCCCATGCACCAGGGCTCTGAACTGCAAATCCACCCTGTCGCCCCCACGAGGCTTGCCACCTCCACTTACCCTGCCCGGCTGAGACCACGCGGGGACCCCACCTGCGGCCACTTCCCCCTCCCAGCACCCCATCCCAGCCTGTCCCAGACCCCCGTCCTCCTGCCACGCCCTGAGTTAGTCGTTCATCTACAAAACTTACGTAATCAGTGAGATAAAAAAGAAAATGCGTATGTATGCAAACACCCAGCCCCCCCTGTGTCCTCTCCAGGAGGAAAATTAATAAATAAAACGCTCTCAATAATTCATGGCGCCCTTTGTGGGCCTCAGGGTGGAGCAGGCAGCAGAGCACCCTGAATAATTCACAGGCGGTTTTGAATTATGAATCTTTTACCCTCTATCTTCCCCTCCACAGACTCCCCGCCCGCCCCCCGAGTCAGGATCCCCACCTCCTGAGGACCTCGGGCTCTTTGGAGGGCCCAGGTCAGCCGGGGGAGGGCGGCAGGCCCGGCCGGCCCCCCGGCCCGGGGCAGCCCCTGCTCCCGCGTGGCCCCCTCGCTAATGGGCTCTCGGTCTCTCTCCTCCCCGCAGCCTACTCTACGCCCGACACGTCCCCTGCAAACCGTTCCTTTGTGGGATTAGGACCAAGGGATCCTGCGGGCATTTATCAGGCACAGGTAGGGGCCAAGAGGCCGGCTGGTGGGGGGCGGGAGGGGCAGGGCACAGGGGCCGGCCTGGGGGGGCTCAGGGAGAGGCGGGCCTGCTGGGTCCCATGCCACACCCCTAGCTCGGTGGCCTAGAGCCCCTGCCCGGCTTCTCCTCAAGGCCCAAGGGCCCGGCCTGGCCAGATTTCCCTCGACCCTGGTCTCTGAGACCACGCCACACCCAGGGATGTGTTTTGGCCCCTAACTCTGCCTTCCACTTACTTCTCTAGTGGCATCTCCCTCCAGGAGACCACCATGGCAGAGCTGCAGGGTGGGGGTTATTACCACCCGGGTCCCCTTTTACAGATGGGAAAGCCGAGGCTCAGAGAGGGAAGGGGATTTGCCCAGGATCACACAGCACGTCACCTGGAACTTTCCACCCCCAACCCCCCAGCCTTCATCCCTTCCACACCGCCAGCCTAGAGGGACCATAGGAGAGGAGGAAGGGGGTGGCAGAGGGCACCAGTACACAAGGGCAGGTGGGGAAACAGGCAGCTGTGGTGGAGGGCGGGGGTGGGGAGGCCAGGCCCTCCCCTCCCAGTACAGCATCCACGACCCCGCCCCAGTCTCCAGCCCAGCATCAAAGCCATTGTGCAGGGTGAGTGATTAGGGGCTTCCTCAGTAGGACAGACATAAAGGGGCAGGGTTGACATTACTTTGGCTGAGTGCACACCAGTGTGGGGGGGTTGGGGCTCACATGACTGGAGGCCCAGAGAGGAGGAGCGAGTTGCCTGAGGCCGCATAGCATGGGAGTGGAGTGCCCGTGGGTCTAGAACTGAAACGGGCTGCTCCGTGCTGGGGCTCACTCCCAGCTTCCCGTGGGGTGGGAGGCAGCCTCAGCCCTGGCCCAGGTGTCCCCAACATCTGCCCTCCAGTCAGGGATCCTCATCTGCATGTGCAGGACAGGGGGTGTGTTAGCGGATGCATATCTGCGGGCGGGGGCTGCACCCCAGAGCCTCAGCTCCCTGCTCTATGTTGGAGAGGGGTCCAGGACGTCAGACAGCCCTTTGCAGAAACCAGCCTGGGGCTGCCCCGCAGCTCAAATCACCAGCACTGCAGAGCCTGGGGATTTGTGGGGTCCACAGGCGGGGATCAGGGAGGAAGCCAAAAGGTGTCCACGTCCCCCATCCTCAGCTGACAGCGGGATTGGCCATGGCTCCAGGCTCAAGGAGCCACCTGCCACACCTGGCCATCTGGGGACCCTCCGTGGCTGTCTAGCGGTTCACAGGGGCTAGAGTGGGGTAGGAAGTTGTGGCGGTCCACCTCCTTCCCTCCCCAGGTCTCCACTGCATCTCCAAGGAGCCTCCAGAGTGGAGGTGGCTGCTCCCTGTCCCTCCAGCCTCCACTCGGCCCACATCCCTGTGTCCCACAAATCGCAGCAGGGGGTGGGAGCAGTAGGGAGGGGAGCAGGGGACGTTGGATTGTTTCTCCTGGTGTCAGGAGAGACCATTGTGTTGAATGTGGTGGGACGGTCCTGGAGGAAGGAGACCAAGGCTCTGCCTCACCCTCTCTGAACCTCAGTCTCTTCCTCTGGCCTTGGGTGCCTCTGGGGGAGCCTTTGAAGGACGTTGGAGGAGAGGCTCCATCCAGAAAGGGCACCAAAGGCCAAGACCCTCCGGCACACCCTCCCATACACACCCCGTATATTAAGTGTCAGGAGCCTTGCGCTGGCAGAGCCCTGGCATCCAGACAGAGGAGTCACTTGGTCAGGGTCACCCAGTGAGCTGGGGCGGCCGCAGGTCAGGCCCCCGGGACTCCCCGCTTTGGGCCCCCCACGGCCACCGGCACCCCCAATGCCACTGGAGCCAGGCGTTTCCTCTCCCACCCCCACTCCACATCCCCCTCCGCAGGAGGCTGGGAATGTCTTAATTGCTTCAGAAACCAAAGCTAATAAAAGCTACAAGGAGGCCCGGCCCGCTTAACCCTTCCGCAGCCTCCTGTGAGCAGACAGCCTGGGAGGGGAGGGAAACTGAGGCAGGCAAGGGCGGCGCCTTCGGTTCTAATGCTTCTCAGCATCCCCCTTTCTGGCCAGCCAGGCCCCTCTGGGGACCCAGAGAGGGTGCAACCAGGGCTGCTGGAACCTGGGGTGGAGGACAGACAGACGAAGGGACTTTAGAGCTGGTAGCAAAAGCTGGCCAGGCAGAGGAGGGTGGGAAGGGGGTCCGGGCAGCAGGCTCAGCACGGGCAAAGGCGGGGGTGGGGAGGGATGAGTCTGGGCTTTGCCCTGGAGGCAGTGGGGAGCCAAGGGAGGATTGAGTGTGAGGGAGGGGCATAGCTAAATCTGGGAGTTGGAATGAACTTTCTGGGCCATGAAAGGAGGTGACAGATCACTGAGAGACTCTCAAGGGAGCATGGGTTGGGGGCGGCGGGGAGGTGAGGTGGGGAGGGCAGGTCTGGGGGAGGACCCTGCCAGTGCTGGATCGCAGGTCGCTGGACTGAGAGCACCCGGCCCCGTCCCTGCTGACACTGCAGGGAGGCGGAGGTGGAGAGACCCTGCTCCGAGGCCTGTCATTCCCCATTCTGGCCTGGTCAGCGCTTCTGCCTCCGTGGTCTTTTCCTGGAGGGATTGATTCCTTCTGCCCCCTCGCTACGCCCCCGTTCCACACGGCCGTCCATCTCCTGACCCCCTCCCCGCTAGTCAGCAGCCCCTCCCCTGATCGATACCCCTCCCCTGATCGATGTCCATCGATCTCCCCCTGCTCAGTTGCCCGCCTTCTGCATTCCCTCATGTCTGTCCGCATCCACCCCTCCTGAGGGGGTCACTGGGTCCTGGCTCCCCGGCCCCCTCCCCCCAGCACTTGACAGCAGGGTCAGGGGTGGAGCCACACGCCCAAAACCACACTGGCAGCTGCTGCCAGGCCAGGGATGCCAGAGCCTGGGCCTCGCCCCTCACACCACGTTGCCTCGGTTTCCCTCTCAGTGGGAGGATGTTGAATTGAGGGCACACCCCCCCGCCCCGCAGCCCCCAACCAGGGCCAGAGCCAGGCAGACCGCGGGAGGGAGGGAGGGAGGAAGGAGGAAGGGCCGAAGGGAGGCCGTCCACCACGGGGAGGGTCACGCCCAGAGTCTGTCTGGTTGCCAACAGAAACCAGACATGAGGTAATGGCCAAGATGAACTTGAACTTGGCTGGAGGTGGGGGGCTGGGAGCCACGGCGCCAGTTGGATGGGATGGCCCAGCGGCTGCCGGGGCCCTGGTTGGAGGGGGTGTGACTGATTTACAGCAGGGGTGGGGGACAGCCCCGCCTCAGACCTCGGCGTGGGGGCTGCGGGTCTCCCCAGGCCCGGTGGGAAGGCCCTCCCCACACCGGTCAGCGCTTGCATTTCCAGGGCGAGGATCTGTACAGCCGCTTCTCTGCGGAGCTGTCCCCAAGTCAGGTGTCCCTGCCGTGGAGGCCTCCTGCCCCTGTGTAAAATGTGAGGCACGGAGGAAACCGGCCCCCTCAGGCCCCTCTGCTCTTATTAAGCTTCTGCAGGAGGAGCCGCTGTCCAGGGCTTCCGTGACAGGGTTGTGACTCCCAGGACAGGGTCAGCCCTGGGCAGGGGCAAAAATGAGGTCTGGAGCTGGACAGGCCTGAGTCCAAACTCCAGCCTCACCCTTCCACGTGGGTGGCCTCGAGCAGGTCACTTGACTTCTCTGAGCCCCTCTTCCTTTCCTGCAAAACAGGGTGGCACAGGGGAGACCCAGTCCTTCCTTCACAGGGGTTCTGGGGGGATCATTAAATGGGAAAATATTTGTTAAAAAAGGAAAAGTAAACGACCCTGGTTGTCCGCGGGCCTGGGTGGGGTGGCACTCCGTAGCATTCCCTCGCTTGCCTCCGTGTCCTGCGGGGGGACCCAGGACAGCACCACATCCCCGCCCGCACCCAAAGCTGCCCCTCACCCCCATCGCATAGTCAGGGCGGTCAGGCTGTCAGAGTTAGCAGATGACAGTACGGGACGGTCGGTTCAAGTCGAATTCCCCAAAGTCGTGTGGGATAAACTTACGCTGAAAGAACTCGGGGTCGATTGTCAGGAACTCACATTTCACCGGGCATCCTGTGTTTTCTCTGGCAGCCTCGTTCCGAGGCAAAGTCACTTGCCCAGGGTCACCTCGCAGGTTCTAGCAGGTTATTACTGTGTGGGATGGGGGGACCGAGGTCACGGGGCTGCAGGAGCTGGGTGGGTGTGGGAGGAGTCAGAGGTCAACGGCAGAGCCTGACCCCCGTCTCTCTCTCTCTCTGTCTCTGTCTCTCTCTGTGTCCCCATTGGGCCACCCAGTCCTGGTACCTGGGATAACAAAGGTCTTCCCACGCTCCTTCTCCATCATCCCGGGAATCCCAGGGGGCAGCCCAGCCGGCCCCCGGCCCATGTTTTCGGTGGATAATTAGAGGAAGACCACCGCGACCACCGCCACCCCCGCCGACTCCCAGCCCGGCCGAAAAGACAAACCACACAGACACATACACACAGGAAGAAAAGAAAAAAAAGGAAAAAAACAAAAAGAAGAAAAAAAACCCCACCCAAGCAAGAAGACAAAAGGTAAAGACGGCGACGACGGTTCAAACCCTCGGGACGCCACGGCCACCGGCCTGGAGGGCCTGGCCCCGCGGGAGACTGTGCGACAGGGGCATGTCCCTAAGGCATTCATCTCCTTTCCGCCTGCTGCTCCGGAAGGACAGATGCCCGCTGCCGCTGCCCCCCGAGGTCCCCACTCTGTCCAGAGACCAGGTGAGCACAGCCTGGCGCCCGAGCCCAGGGCCGACGGGGCGGGACGCCAGCAAGGCCACCTCTCCCCGGGCCCCCACCGTCACCGCTGGGACATCGACCGGCCACCCCCATGGATGGTGTTTGCCAAAGAGGGGAGGCAGCCGCTGGTGGGGAAGGGGAGAGAGCAAGGACCCCAGCCGTGGGCCGCAGAGACCTCGGCGCAGGGCAGGGTTGGGCAGGCAGGTGACGGGGGCAGAAGAGGGTGACCCGGGCTCCCGGGACCGAGCGCTGGCTGGCCTCGCCAGGGCACCTGGCAGGTACTTGGTGACTCTCAGGAGTGTCCTGCAGTCTGACCTCCGCCCCTCGGGGTCTGCCTCCCCCTCGCCCTCCACAGCCCGCACGTGCTCACAGGGGGCTTGGTCTTTCCGCCCTCACGCCTGCCCTGTTTGGGAGAAGTCTCTATGCAATTGACCCCCAGCCCCCCACCCCACCCCCAGCAT